TTTTTTTTGCAAATGTTGGCAGTTGTTAAACTAGGACTGCTTAGTTTTATTAAGTAGTATTTCAGACAACAGTCTTCATTAAGTTTATGAACCCGATCAGCTAAAAGACTTCCCCATTAGCACGAAAAACAACTTTAGAATGATATAAATAATAATATTCATATTTTATTCTTATTTTTACGTGTTCTGTATGGCTGTCGTAGCTAACGGACACTTCTCTAAAATGAAGAATTACGACGGTAGTGATCCGTCTAAACTCCCAATAAACCCCTTCCTAGTAACATGATATTCATACTGTAGGTCTCCATTTAGCCCTTACTCGCCAAAATACTAACCAGCTGACTGTAACCTTTATTATTTTGAGACCCTTGTCTTCTATGACTTAGATGTCTTATACCTTGAAGACATACGGGTACTCAAATCCTTTTATTCTCACTTCACCTTTGTAATTTACAAGTAGAAATTCTGACTGGCACTTGTCCACACTCAGTAATATACTAAGGAGCGAAAAATAAATTATAAATGAAAACAACTTAAGGTCAATTAAACAGATCGAAAGCTACCTACAAGCTAAGTATTAACAGAATAGAGAAATATAAGACTGAGGTTCACAGTGAACAGTCACTGGTAAGCAATCAATACTCACCAAAAGGACGACTTGAATCAAAATAACAATACCAATGAATAAATCCCTGATTACTGCCTCTTTTATACCTGACTTTTGTCCGCTCAGATGGTCAGTCTGCAATTCCCTCCGGGAGCTTCCCCTCAGGAAACTGCAGTGACTTCAAAGTTTTCCTACGGTGCCTTTTGCGACCGGTCACGACAGTGACAATTAATCGCTACAGTCATCATGAAACAAAGCAAGTAGTAGAAGTATCAAAGTCTTCTGGTACCGGTTTGCAGCATCCAGTGGTTTCTAAAGTTGGGTAACGGTTTAGTCATCGTCGACAACTAGTCTATGTTGTCGGCACTTTTAAAAAAGACCACTCATAGTGATGTCCATTTCTTAACTTCAGTTACTTTTTTAAATAACTGTTTCTTCATAAATGATAAAATATTTTCAGTTTCACTGTTGCCTTTTGTCACATTCTAAACTTCAGTTGATTTTGGCGATCAGAAATGTGAATATTCATGAAAAAAGTTAGGCATACATCAACATACTGATCATTTATGAAGAAAAATAATTTGTATGAATTAGTTGAAAAACTTAATTGTTTCTACGCACTGCGTATTAATGGAGTATCGCTGATGACGTTCCATGATTTCCGGTTTCTTTGACTGTGTGGGAACAGTGAAAGAAGAAATATCTCTACATATATATTCTTTATTTCTAAGATACTAAATTATTTCTTGAAAAATAAGCACTGTTGGTAAGTATTTCGAAAGGGAAAAATTGCTTGTCACCGTTTTTGACAGTGCTTTTTTCTTTTTATTTGTTGACTGCAACAACTAGGCTCCAAAATAGTTTACATGTGCTTTTGTTTCGGCTTCTTAGTCAATGAAAACTGAATACGAGGGGTAAATAGGAGTACATCCGAAAACAGCAGACAGCTCTTTTGTTACAATTGACTTTCCTCGTTCACTACAGGACCAACAATGAACGCTTCTTTGTTCCTTTTTTTGCGGATTTCAAAAAAAACCCCTCGAATTAACACTCTTGCGTGAACGCATATGCCACAAATTTTTTTTAGTTTTTTTCTTCGTTAGACATACACACAGAAAGAGAGCAGTTTACTGGTTCAAAAAATATGTATATAAATAAATTTAAGACTGTCTAAGAAGTGACGAATGATTGATATTGGTCGGCGTATTCTAGTGCAGTTGAGATCACATTGATGATTTTTACTTCGCAAGTCTATTAAACACTGACTGTTTGAAACGGTGATGAGCTAAGATCTAATCCTAAAATGTTGTCCAGCTACATTCGCATTTTACAACGTTTATCGCTTTCCCAAGAGGTCACCAGTCAAATTAATTCAGTTATTCAGTTCCACTTTGTTAACGAGACAAAAACAAAAAATCGTCACTTGAAAAGAAATCTTTAACGCCAAAAGTGTTAGAAAAGTGTCAGTGACCTGTTGCTGTTTAAGCATTTTGTCCGGCTCATGCATTACACGTATATTTTCATCATGATTCCCCAACCATAGTACATATATAGTTTCTTTTTCTGTCCTATATAACTTTTTGTTGTAATCATAAGTATTTTTCAAAAACAAAATAAAAAGTAAGAAAAAAAGACAGGAAGGGACATTTACTGCTAAAAAGTGATTTGCTACCGAAAATGTTTGAAGTAGTCAAGAGTAATAGAGAAACAGTAATCATTAAAGCTGATTGTAATGCTGTTTTCACTAAATGATTTTAACAGTAAACCAATATGTTCAAAGGAACAGTTTTTTCACGAATGCCCTTCACCAGTTATGGTTTTTCACCGATTACAATGCAGCTTCTGGTCTTATTGATACAAAAAGAATATAAATATTTTTATTGTTTTAAATGCAAGTAAAAAAATGAAATGCCTATAGAACAACTAAAAGTGCCAAACCTGCATTCGAACTGAATTTGTCCATCACAGATTGTCACCGCGTATAGATTACCATTTTTCGCACCATCGTCTGTGTACAGCAACAGCGCATTTTTTTGTTTGGTTCGAAAATCAAAAGCAATCTGTGTTTCATGCGAGGAACGAAGTTTTGGATATCTTAAAAAAAAAAAGAAAAATACATCCAATTTATTTTACTAAATAGACGAAAAAAATAAAATTTGTCCACGAAATTTTGTAAAAAAAATTTTTACCTCGCATAAGAATTTGGTGCTCCCGGAAGAATTATTGCATTAGCATAGAACAACTGAGAAAGTATAATGGTAAGAAGTAGAAGGACAGAAGGCACATAAATATTTTCAAAAATATACAAAATTTTAATAATTTGTTTACAGAATAAATGTGAAGGTACTCGTAATATTTCAGGAAATAGGTACTGCTCAAGATTGTTGTTTGCAAAACAGTAGCATCGTTTCCGTCGTTTCAACAGTATATGGTTAAATATCGTTGATGACACAGAATGATCAACATTTTCGTTCAATGTTTTACACGTTTTTTTTCGTGAAAAATACAATCGTTTTTGGACGACCAATTTACCGTTGTGCAGATGCTTCCGTAACATAGATGTTGAGGCAAAAAACATTGAGATATCAGATACATCTGCGGTTGATGTTGTTCCATCTTCAGGTGAGCAAAACGAAATGTTGTTCATTATATTTGAGTGAGATTTAAAGCATTGATTATAATCAGTTGGATGTCGTTTAAGTGTTGTTGAACTGTTGAAATAATGCCACAAATTATTTTGCTGAATGTTGAACATTGCAATTTGTCCATTTGAGATCAGCAGTATAGTAGAATACACACAGAGGTAATAAATTGTTTTAGAAAATTTTAGCAGAAAAAAAAAAAAAAAGCAGAAGATTAGATGATCAGTAGTTAGCTGTTTTCGTTGTTGCTGTTACCGCTGTTGCTTATAGACCTTCAGTTTT